AGTCGCTCACTGTCTGTGCTGCTGCATGCAGCACGTAGGTAATTGCATGCAATTTGTGCCAGTACTGGAAAACAGTTAATTATTTCTTCAATATCAGTTGCAAATGACCAACACAACATTTAGCCAGTGCAAAATGTATGTGACACAACAGATAAACACCGGCCACTGATATTAGTGAATGCCATTTTATTTGCCAATAGACAGATATCAGCCGATCCTGATCAAGCCAATATATCACTGCATCCCTAATATATATATTATTTATTCTTTGTGCATTATTGGCTTACAAGAAACCATTTGTGATTAGATTGTTTTGATGATTTTTCCTTTTTAATTGTATTTATTTGTGTCGCTGTGATCCAGGCCGTCGCACTGCCCTTCCCGCCCCAGGATCAGACAACAGCCACATCGGCATCATGACCATCCTGTACAACAACATCGGCAAGGACCTGTCCAGAGTCTCCATGCCGATCGCTCTCAATGAGCCATTGTCTTTGCTGCAGAGAATGAGTGAAGAGCTGGAGTACTCAGAGCTACTGGACATCGCCAACCAGATTGATGATCCATATGAGAGAATGGTGAGTTTGGTTTACTTCTAGAGTCTTAACCAGCTGGAGCTGAGATACAGTTGCAAGTTTTTAAAAAAAAAAAAAATGTTCCCCAGGTTTATGTAGCAGTGTTCTCCATATCTGGATATGCCTGGGCAACCTGGAGGTATGGCTACAAACCATTCAACCCTGTTCTGGGAGAGACCTACGAGAATCCCAGAGAAGACAGAGGCTTCCACTACGTCGGTGAACAGGTAACTAACAAGGAGGATGAAGCAAGATGATGACCAAACCTCTGAATTAAGAACACAGTGGGATCATGTGTTATATGTGGTGCTTTCAGGTCAGCCATCACCCTCCCATCTCCGCCTGCCACGCAGAGTCCGAAAACTTCACTTTCTGGCAAGGTAGGAGCCGTGCGCATAGAGATGAGTGCTGGGTCTGTCTTTACGGTATGAGTGGACCTAATGGGTGCCTAATGTGTGTTTCTGTCTGCTCTCAGATCAGAGATGGAAGTACAAGTTCTGGGGGAAGTCGGTGGAGATCATCTCTTCTGGAATGGTCAATGTTACCCTGCCCAAGTGAGCTGCTGCTACATTTAACAACAACTGTCACACAATGCAGATAACAGCTAGACATACAGCAGTAGTATAAATCAGTGATTACCAACCAGGGAACTGAGAGATACAAGCCCAGCTCTAGATAGTTAAAAAAAACAAGTCTATAGAAAAATGCTCAAAATTATTTGGAGTTTAATATTATTGCATTAATTGTGTGTGTGTGTGTGTAGGTACGGTGATCACTATGAATGGAACAAGGCAGTGACCTGTATCCACAACGTGCTGAGTCAGCAGCGCTGGTTGGAGCACTATGGTGAGGTGGTTATCAGAAACACAAAGAGCGATGTCTGCACCTGCAAGATCACCTTTGTCAAGGTGAGGACAAACACACACTCACTCACACACTACTTCATTAAATTAGCCTCTCCTCTGCGACTGCTAGTTCAGTTAGAAAGCAGAATAATGCACATAGACTGTTCTTTTCCTCTAACCACACCGACCTTTTCCTCCCTGTCTTCCAGTCTCGCTACTGGAGCTCAGACAACAGTAAGAACGAGGTGCAGGGCGTGGTTCTAGATCGGGCCGGAGAGGTGGTTCATCGTTTTGGAGGCCTCTGGCACGAGGGCATCTTCTGTGATACCCTGCCTACACCCAAGTGCATCTGGAAGCCCAGTGAGTAGCATCCATTCCTGAGCTTTGGGAATCCTTAAAAACCCTGACAAATCTAGGTGTTGACCTCATCTAGTATCACATTACTATTAAATACACCCTAACTTTCTACAGAGCCACGACGTTTTTCCACATTGTCTGATGTTCCAAGTCTGAATATGTATGATGTTATTTCCTATTTAGACGTGCAGCCTGACGACTACTCTGACTTTTACGGCTTCTCGCAATACGCCAGAGAACTAAATGAACTGACACCTAAGCTGAAGGCAATCCTCCCGCCTACAGACACCCGCTTCAGACCAGACCAGAGGTACAAACAGGATTCTTATTTATTTATAGTGGTAAATGTGGTGTTTTTCACCCCACTTCTTGCACCATCTCCCACTTGTTTTAATTCCTGCCCCTCAACTCTCCGTCAGGCTCCTGGAGGAGGGGAAGTTAGCAGAGGCAGACAAAATGAAGGATGAGGTGGAGGAGAAGCAGAGGGAGAGGAGGAAGGAGATGGCCAAGAGAGGGGAGGAGCACATCCCCAGGTTCTTCAGGTGAGGGGCTCTGCTATGGAACATTTGGGAAAGAAAACTTAACATTACACATTTATCCACAATTTGTCCACTAATCCTTTTAATGTTTAACCTTAATGTTAACAGAAACAACATATTTCCAAGACTATTGCTCAACAGCAACACATTTCTTTTGTTTACTATCTCAGGAAAACTCTGGATAAGGCCGGCAGAGAGGTGTGGCTGTCCAATGGAACCTACTGGAAGCTCCGCAAAGACCCAGGCTTCACCAAAACTGAAAACCTGCACCTGTGGTAGAACACTGCACCTAGTGTGAAATGAAACTAGCCAGGTGCTAAACACATGGTAATGTGATGAAGAGGAACAATAACGGCCTTCAGTCAGTAAAAATTATGAATTGTACCTATTAGTCTAATAATCTGTGCATGAATATACTCTAGTAACTGCCATTACTGTGAGGATGAAGAGAACAGCGTTTGGAAGCATAAATGAACCCCTCATTGGGTTTTTTTAGTGCCATGTAGGGGTGAGGTGCCACTATGGAACAAATGAAGACTGATTTAGACGAGGCCGGATGTTTCCAACCTTTCGCCTACCTCTTTCCATAATGGAGACCTTCAAAATAATAATTCATGATTCAAAAGCAAATCTTAACTTGAAATCCAGTTTTATTGCTGCCCTAGAGAAAATTATGGGTTAAAGTTTTTCTGTCAGGACTGAGGCCTCTCTGTGTAAAGTGTCAAATATTTGTGGGACAAATGTCAGATTATATGTTTTGTTAATTTTAACAGATCTGTATAAATATTTTTAGTCAGGCTCATTTTTATGACATTGTGATGAGCTCAGGAATAGTCTGAGAAGATAGATTCCTGCGGAGGGATCCAGAACACATGCAGGGCTTATTCTGGTGCCTGTGGGGTATATTATAGGTGAACTGGTGCTGTCCTGCTTGTTTTCTCAGTGGGTCTTACTGTATAAACTTGTGTTGATTTGTAAATTCAGTGTGTATTTTCTGACGTTTAGTTGTGACACATTGGTGACACACTGGTGATGCATTGTTTTTCCAAGCTGTCCTTGCGCTGTTTAACCCTAGCAGCCACGTAAGCTGTCTTCCTCTCGCCTGTATGCATTGTTCATGTCCAAAATGAGCTGACAGACGAGGATTGTGTCTCTTGGACCTTTATGCTATCAGTTGATGCAATGATGTATTTTTATTGATGTTTCAACAATGGATTTTAATAAGGAAAAGAGACTACTGTTAAAACTCAGTGAAATGTTTTCTTCTTAATGGTTTAGTTTCAAATAAAAGGTTCAATAATCAACTGTTTTGTTTTGCTCTTTTGAACTTTTATTCACTTACTTATTCACTTATTTTACTGGCTTTTTTTTTCCGGAGTTTTAACTGCCACTAATTTGACTTAAAGGTCCAGTGTGTAACATTTAGGAGGATCTATTGGCAGAATTTGAATATAATTATAGGTATGTTTTCATTAGTGAATAATCACCTCAAAATGAAAATAATTACCTTTTTCTCCATGTTGAACACTGGCTCTAGATATGGCCTTTTGCATTTTCATGAGCTTTGAGACCACAGTAGTTTCTCCTACACGCTTGATTGAGGCAAGCTGCGTTCAGTTGGTTGTAATCTGCGACTTCACCACTAGATGCCACTAAATCCAACACACCACTCCTTTAATTTGATGTGATCATTTGTATGTGGCTGGAAGGAAATGGGCAGAAATCACTTCTAAGGCATGATCGATCTGTTGGTACACATTCTAGTAAGGCACTCTATAGAAAGGGGCTTATCTCACTGCTAGTGTTGAGGGGTGGGGGCCGCACCCTTTGTTAGACTTGTAGGGAAAAGAATGCTTGCCCAGTCTTGCTTGGGGGAGCTGGACCCGGATTGCCTCCATGTTTATAATAAATCCATGTGGCATGTTTATTATATGCTATAATGTTCATGCTTTAGTTTTAAAATGCACAAATGGTTTGCTTAACTGGCCCACTATAAACAAAATGTGTCACAAATAATCGTACATTTTCTGTGCACTTTTCCCAACTAAGTCACTTTTGTACAGTCCCAAACAAAACCTGATGTCTCTCGGGATGTTTGACACATGCTGCTCACACTATTAGACCACATCGGTTATTACTGACCATCAACATGTAACACAGTTATTTAATATTACCCTTTATTTATTCTTTTTTATATTATTCCAGATCATTTACAGCACAAATCCCTGTCCACAGTTCTACATATGATTTATTAAAGCATTCACTCTCTCTCTTGCTGATGTTGTAAACAGTGAAGTAACAGTGAGGTATTCATGACTACAGTGAGTGGAACAGTGAGCGTCCCCTGCTGGCTGCGTTCAAATCCTCATTTAACAAAGCTAAAAGTGCATAATCAGTTTGTCAGAGTAAATCATTCTCAGTGAAGCTTGTAAACACAACTATGACGTATAATAAAGTTAACTGCAAAAGATATTGTCAAAAGTCAATCTTGTCAACAATACACTGTTAAAAAGTAAAATAGTTGTAATATAATGAAGAAACTCCTGTTGTAATGTCCTCTGAAAGCAACCAGCACCACCAACACAGGACGATATGGCAGTTTCCCCTTCTAACACCTGAAAACTTCAAATTAAATCTACAGGTTTGATGGCATCTATAAACCAGAGCGTGCAGTTAATGGACACCAATTTTCAACCGTTTAAGCCGAAAGGACATAGAGTTTTACAGATTTCTGTTTTTGGTGTGCTTCTTTACTTGTACATACTACACACATTATGTTACGCCTGACATCTACCTGGCTGAATGTCTACACAGACACATATGTAATGTGGCAGATTTTTGGCTCCATCCACACTGTGGGGTTTCTTGATTGCCTCCAAATTTCTTCTCAAATATGACACTAGATTTCAAAGTGACTTTTACATTTTTACATATTTGAGGTTGTAACCAAATGACAATTAACGGTACCCTGTTGGGGGTTCATATAATATAAGGATTGACATGGGCAGGTCAAACAGAGTCAGGGTGCTGCTATTGTACAATAGTACCACTGGTAACACTTGTATTTACCCTACTACTTCAAGTCAAAATGGCTGCTGTGAAGTTGAAATAACTTGTAGTTATCTTTTAAGCAGACATAAAAAAACGCTTAGACAGTGCCAGCTGCAGTGTGAATGGAGCTGTAGTTCAAGAGAGAAGCAGCTACATACAGTAGCACCCAATGTAACAGAGCTAATTGCTAAATCTTAAACATTACCAAAAATAATAAGGAAAGAAAGAAAAAAGAAAAGCCTTTCACCTTATTCACTTTCCAAGAGGTTTTTCCGAGAGGTTAAAGTGACAGAGATTCAAACATTTTGGAGAAACACATCAATAGAGTATCCTGAAATGATGTCATAGCCCTAACCTAGTACTGTATGCACAATGAGTGTATTATTGTACATGTTACTATGTACACCAGTGCACCTGCACTTAAAATCAATGTGTCAAGTCCACATTTTCAGTTTGGGACAACGCATACTTGTGTAATTCCACAAACTGTGTTACAGAAAACTTCAAATGAAAAGTATGCCAGTATGCATTCTCATCAGTATACTGAATGCAGTGTTGAGAAGAACCACAGATATGATCTGTGCCAAACAAGTGACACACTCAAGAAAATCCAGTTCTTCCTGGGCAGACTTGTCACACAGGCCATGGGAACAGCATCATATCCAGCTCTGTTTGTCTTTGCAGATGTTGTAATCCCTTGTCCCTTCACCAGGTGGAGACAGACCACCACACAGGCTAATGGAAGACAGCGGGAAGCATTCAAACAAGCATTATTTTAAGTAAGGTTTATGAAGTAGTCTGTGTGGTTTGTCCAGACTCCCACAGACATGAGAGGATTACAACCTGAAATAAGTTTAAAAGCAAATCTTTGGGACAGTTTTCTGAGCTGTCTCAGAGATTTCTGACTCCACACCAAGGTCATAGATACAGAGCCCCCCAGGGGTCATTTAATAGAAAAAATACTGGCTTAGATATCTGTATCTATACGTTTGTTATACGTATTGTATTTGTTTTAATGCCATAACGCCACACAATTCCATGACTGAATGACTAAACATGAATAGAGCTTTTTCGCAGCATCCATTTTGACATGACAGTAGGTAAACACAAATGTTACCAATGATACTAATCAAGGTTCAAACAGAGTCAGGATGCTGCTACTGTTCATGTATGGAAAGGCTAATAAAGGCTCTGCTCTAATGGCTGCTGTGAAAAAGGTCTATTGTGTTTTAAAGGTTACATTATGCGTTACATGCCTGAATCTTGACAAGCCGGCATACCTGTCTCATGGTCACCATCAACTTCTAGCACTCGTTCTGTACTTTCACTCTCAAGCCACAAGCTAGTTTTAATCCTAAAGAAGTTACTTAGTCCGGCACCTTTGGCCAGCTTGTATTCTGGCCTTTTCAGCTCCCCCGTTTCTCTTTTTCTCCATCTTGTCTTTTTTTATGTCTTACTCACATCTTCTATCAAGTACCCAGCCCTTACTGCAGTGCGCAAATCAGGGCGTTGCTCAATGTGGTCGGGGTCAAAGGTCAGACGTGATTATCTCATCAATCACTTGCTCAATCGTAACCTCCTTCATGATATATATTTATAAAATTATTGTTTAATGTCACAGTCACTGGTCCTTGTGGCCTAACAACAGCCTGGCCCACCTGGAATCTTCCCATTTCTCCCAATGACTCCTACTCTTAATGACTGGTGATCTCCTGACTTTTCACCTAGTACCACCAGCAGGTCAAAGATTTTACTCATCCAGTAAAACAACTCAACATCCACCGGACACCGAGACATTTTCCTCTAGCAAAAATTGGAAGAATTGTTAAAATGTTGGTGATCCTCTAAACTTTCATCTAGCACCATCCTCTGGTCAAAAAATTTATTTGTTCAATACTTTGGTTTATGACCAAATACCTTCCAAAAATCCCATGAGCCTCAGCTGTACTTTGTGTTAGGGTTAGGGTTAGTACTAACTAGCTAATGTTAGCACACTAAACTACTATGTTAAAATTGTTGTTATTAGCACGTTAGCATGCTGATGTTAGCATTTTCGGACACTTGAGAACCAACAATGATTCTGGAGTCAAAAATCTCGGAGACAGCTATGTCAAAACAAATGTAATCAACTAAAGAGTGCCTTACTAGCTTAAATGGAGCTTTAACCACATTATATGGTCTTCATCAGCAGATTGAATCAGCAAAATCTATCCATTGTATCATCTTGAATTTGATGTGATATGGTTGACAGCTCTGGCTAGAAAATAAACACATCATGGACACACACAGAGGTCAAATTGGGACCAGTGTTCCTGTCCTAAAAGCTTTCTATTGGCTTCATAAAAGAACTCATCAATAAGAGTTCAAAGTGCCTCCAGTTTTATTTATGTGTGTCCAGCAACCGCGTGTTCTGGTGACGCGTCCTTCCAAGGCAGTGGATCCTTAACTGCTGCTCATCATACCATTAATCCTTCTAAATAAGAGTGAAATGTATAAAATCTCTGCTGTCCCAGGAAAGAAGTTTGGCTTTCATCCTTGACACAACAACAGCTTTAAGTCAAAAAAGTCAGTCTCTTTAAATATCTGCCCATACTCCAGATGAGTCCAGGTCTTTTCAGCGCAGGAGCCCAGATGTGAGGGAAGTGATAAGAGATGACAAGTGTGATATTTCTGGCTGGTGGCTGATCTTGACCTTATTCTATCTTTGTAGTACCATGAGAGACTTGAGCTGCATTTCTCTAAAAGCAATATGTAAACTCACGAGTGTAAAATATAATGTGAAACTGGATTGTAAAACATCTTATGCCTTATGTTGTCATTTCTTACACAATTCTATGTATGTCCATACAAGTTAGATGATAGACTTTTTAAAACTTCTGGACTAAGTCATAAATATCCTTTTATAACTTGTCTCATAGTGATAATATATTGACTTGAAATATTAAAATGTCATAATTTTGAGAAAGTATCTCACAATTTTAAGCTGTGATACTTGTGAGATATGGCATATATTATGAGTTAAGTTATAACGTTTTTATTACATAATTATGAGACATTAAGTGATAATTTTAAGATACTATGTCATAATGACTAGATAACTTATAAATAACAATTGACGACATAAAGTTTCCCATAATTATGATGAGATACTATCTCCTGATTATGAATGTCCCATAATTTTGAGGAGGTAATAAATCTTAATTATGAGATATCATATATTGTAACTCTAAGTTTCTTATACTTAAATCTTCTACTTACTATTAACTCCTACTAGCTAATTACTTTTTTTAAAATTTTGTTTTCATGTACGGAAGCCGAGAACGGCCA